TACTGGGGTCGTTTGACCCCAGTGCTCTTTCCTGCCATGGCAGGGGGTCGGACTAGATGATCTGCTCAGGTCCCTTCCGACCCTAGAAACTATAGAAACTATAGATTACTGGCATACAGTACTCCTATTAATACAGCCCATATATCTCAGCATGCTATTATCTTATTATTGTTGATGATGTTTCTGCTGCTGCAGCAACATTTGCTAATAATTTTGTGATGGGCTATAACTAGATCCTTTTTGGCATTTTGCTGCTTAATTTTTGGTATGAGCATTCCTAAGAATCCTAAGCATTTCCTAAGAGAAAAGAGCAATGTCCAAACATTGCTATTTTTCAATCAAGAACAATTGAGAAAATGATTTGCAAAGGCAACAGATTTATGCTGTCTAGTTCCATTGCTGTTGATCATAATGCCAACCGCATGCTAGTGATTTTTCAGTTAAGTGCCATGATAAGGTGCCTGTGTCAAAGAGCTTCCTGTAAACAGCTTTGACCTTCCAGTTGAATCTGTTTCAGCTGATCTTTATATCCATGTAGATTCCTCTGGTATCAGTGACAAACACCAAAGCATGACTCAGACTTAGAGAGCAATACTGCAAAGGCTTATGCACATATACACAGCTCATAAAGGATAAGTCTTTGTAGGATTGGGGCCTAAATAGAAAACCAAAGGATAATGCAGCCAGCTGATTAAATTACTCTGTAACTGCAGGTAGGAGTCACAGTTGATCAAACTAGACACAGATGTTAGTAATAAAAAAGATTTGGTGTCTGAGGTTTTGTTTTAATAAAAGAGTGGAAGGACTGTATTAGGGGGCAATGCTTAAAACCCTTTTGTACTTTAATTAGATGTTAAAATTCCATTTTTGTCCTTTTAAGCAACGTGAAAAAAAAAAATCAAAACCCCAAACCCAGGTTATTACATTGAGAAAAGCAAACACTGTGTAACAACCCCTGAGTCTTTTCAACATTTGTAGGGATCTGTTAGCAAAGAGATTTAACTATATGCATGTCAGCTTTACTGATGTGGTGAACTGTACCTGTTCTGAAACAGCAGCTATATTCCAGTAAATCAATAATCCATAAATGGAAAAGAGGCTTTTTGCACTGTATAATAATCATTGGAAATAAAGTTATTAAAATTATGCTATATGTGAAAGAGCATAACTAAAAAGTACAAGAAAGGGTAACTGAGTTGTCTTATGACTAGCACATCAGATTGTTACATGGGAGATCCATGCACAAATCTATGCCCAGTCTTCTGTTAAATGGAGACCGTTTCTTCATTCAAAAATGTTTATATGATGCAGGGCATGTCTACATGTTCATTACAATGCACTGTAATTACAATGCATTGTTTAGTACCTGTAATAACAGGAGCTAACTTAATGCAACATAATTGGTGCTACTGAGCATTAGTGTACCTGAATGCTTTTTTTTTAGACTAAGTCTACTGCACATTACCATGCTCTTTGCATGATGCGCTAATGCGCACTAGAATTAATCTAATGTGCATTTAATGTTTCATGTAGACACACGCACACAGTCTTAAGGAGGCAAGGAAATCAAATAATAGACTATGTCTCTTTCCTCAGAGGGAGGAATTCAGACAAGATAAAAACATGCTCATAGAATTGAAGTTGACATTTCAACCTTAGACTGGCTCAATCTAAAGATGTTGAAAGGATCTCAGTTTAGTGTCTGAACATGAATGATAAAATATAGGGCCTGACCTTCTATTGCTCTTCCTTTCATGTAGTTCTGTAAACCAATAGGCATAAAATGCTTCCATTCCAGTTTTGCTCCCACTTGGAACTACTGTAAAAATTCAGATACCAAAAAAGCTAAGTCTTTGAATGTAGTCTGAATTCCACACAATTCTATTCGAGCTTTTAGTTCATTTAGTATTCTTGGCCTACCCTACTGCACATAAACTTCATCTTCTATCCATCTAAAATATTGAATGTTATGAAGAGTTGCCTAAAAAACAAATAGCTCACAGATTGCTTAGACTAGTGATTCTTAACCCTGGGGTGTTGAGAGGACAACGTTCTGCAAACGCCTACATAAGCTTCACAAAATAAACTCAGAAATTTCTAATAGGAATCCATCGTGTCCAAAATATTCTGATCTGTTGTAGTCTTCCTGAATTTTTTGCAACAGAATAATTATTTTTGTATAGTCAGAAACAAGTGAAAACTAAGAGCTGGCATTTTCTGAGGGGTGACCTGAGTCCAAAAATGTTGAGAACCACTGGCTTAAATTAACCACATGCTTCACTGTCTCACATACTTGTAATATTTAATGAAACATTCTTCCATTCCCAACATGCTACTGAGTGTTTTGGTAACTGTAAGAATGGCATGTTGCTGAATTCCAAATGATCCGCCTTCATGCTATAATCAGTTTCCAGGTGTCTTGCCATACATTTCAATCTTCTAAAAGGGCATAGACTACAAGAGGTGGGAGCTTCCTGTGGGACTAATTAATGTAACAGACAAATAGAACTGGGCAGTACATTTGTTTACTTTAATCAGCATTTAGGGAGGATCCTTGTGAATTATCCAACAAATCTTGAGGGCTTGGTGAAGAGGAAACCAAGAAAAATATTTCAGCTTTCCCCTCCCATATATCTCTAGCATTTTTCACATACGTGTTCCAGGAAGAGTTTTCTTAGGACATCAGCCAATATTAAAATCACATACATACCCAAAGGACAAAACATGGACACAATCTATATTTTGTTTTTAATTATGAATATGGGAACAGATTTCATACTTTATTAGGAATGCATATACTCTAGAGTTGGTGTTGTTTAAAGATGTGTTGATGCACTGCTGATAACATAGCTCATCTGATTGTTCTGCTACAGTATGTACATGGATTTATGTAGTTGGACAGTTTTCTGCCTTAACCTCTTCCTCTCCCCAGCCTTCTTATCCAGCCCCATCTGAACACCTACAGGCAACTGTAACCATCAACATTAACAGCTGTTCCAGCTCCTCTACTGTCTTCCCAAGACTTTAAGAAACATTTTATGGCTCTACTCACAGGCTTCAAGTTAGAATCAGCTGTCAGATGAAAGAGATTTGTGCCCACTATAAAATAAATAGTAGATAATTGCTACTATAAGTCATGAACGATGTGTGCCCGCGGTGACTGGGGTGGCACGGCAGCACTGGTGGTGGTGGCGGGAGTGTAGTGGCGGTAAGTGGGGGAGCTCCTGCAGATGCCGCCAGCACTGTTGGAAGTGAGGGGGTGGGGTGGTGAGCACTGACCAGGGGTTTGCAACCACCCATAAATGCTGGCGGTGGCTAGCGGGGATCACAGACCACCCACAGTCACCACCGATGGTGTCGGTAGTGGGGTGGCAAGCGGCAACCATCTGCAGGCACCAACAACACTGCCGGCAGCACCTTTTTGTAGGGGCTGCACTGCCACACTCAGGGGGTGCATGTGTACCCGTATGTACCCCCTATGCGTCGCTCCTGCTATAAGGCAAGCTCTGAATATCATGCATACATACTTGTTATGAAAATTTTGTCAGTTTGGGCTATATTGCAAAGAATCACTTTACTATCTTGCTCCAATATTGTCAGGTCAGTTCTGTGTAGGGTGACCATACATCCCAGTTTGTCTGGGATAGTCCCAGATTTTGTAGGCCGGTCCTGGCTGTTGGTGAAAATTAAAACAGAAGTCCCAGAATTGCAGGGACATGGATCACAGCCCGGTGAAGTGCCTTGTGCCCCTGCCTCTGCCTGCAGCAGTGCTGCTGTCTTGGGTGGGGGGTAGTGTCCCAGATTTCCTTAAAAATAATGTGGTTGCTGTGACAGATTGATGTCCAGAATGCTGCCAATGGGCAGTGCACATGCACTGTCTATTTGGTTGCGATGCACCGTCCTCTTCTCACCTGCCATAACTTGCTGTTTCTATTAGATAAATGTTCAATTATGAGGAGGTGGTACCTGTGGTCACTCGGTGGTCTTGGTGCAGTCGAGTCGGCAGTTGGCTTCTGTGGTCCTTCTCCTTCTCTACACCCTATCCCTTTCCACTCAGGCGTTGCTGTCAGACCTTGATGGCGAGTCTTGCTTCCACTTGGTTCTTTTCCTTCTAGGTGCTTGGTTAGGTCCATACTTACTTAGGATGGTGCCTGTGCCTCCACTTCAAAGGATTACAACAAATTAGGTAATTGAACTTAAATTGCTCAGGTTAGTTGGCTGAGCAGGGCACTGATGCCTCGTCATGAGCTGAGCCCCGTCTACTGCGGTAATTAAGTGGGTCCAGGGTGCCTTGAGGCACCACTTCTAACTGTCCTTGTCTGGGCTCCCTGCACTGGGTCTGATTCACAGGCTCCCCTTGCAGGGTCCTGTGCTGCTTGGGGCTGGCCCAAGATGGCTCTATGTGGGTTCTGTGCTCTGAACCACGGCTTTCTGCGGGCTTCCCTGTCAGTCACACCAGCAAGCTGTCTCTGCATGGATCCTCCAGCCGTTTTCCCACCGCCCACTCCCTTCCCTGCCTGACTTGCACTACTCCAGGTGAAGACCTCGGTGTGGTTTATGAGCTGGCAGTGTCTGCAGCAGTGAGATCCTCTTCTTTGATTGTGGAAGAGAGCATGCAGGCTTCCTCTTTGTGTCCTGGCACGTTCTTCTTCCTCTCTTTTTGGCCCGTCTTTTCGCCCTCTTCCCCAGGCTCTGGGCCAACTGGCGTGCCTCTTCTGGCTGGCATGATACTGGCTGGTCGGATTTCAGCCCAGCCACCTGGGCCCAGGCTGAGCCAGGACACCTGGGTACATGTCCCCGCAAGTGACACTGCATTTTTCTTCTTCCCCAGGCTTGCACTGACCCTCTGTTCTCCTGTCACAGTCACCCTAGTGCTGTGCATCAGAGGAGAATGAAATGGTAGTCTAAAAGTCTCTTCAGAAGAGCACTCCCAAAATACTCCGATCATGCATATCAAACTACTGGATGTATGAAGTAATTAAGTGGGTAAATGCCATAGTTTAACAATCTGTCTTATCATCTTGGTATTTCTCAGTGCAAGGCAGCGCTTCCAACTTCTTAATTCCACCGTCTAGTACATGAGACAAGAATGCTGCCATGTTAAAGAGGGTTGCATTTCTCAAGTAAAAAAAAATAACAGAGACAGCTGAATATTATAAAAATATTAGATCTTTTTAGGAAATGTGTGTTTGTCACTAAAAATAGTCAAAATGACTCTGAGAATACAAAGGAGAATACAAGACAAACAACTGTTCAAGTAAAGGGAGTGGTGGAGCTGCCCTTTATTGAATGGAAATAATAGTATTCTACCTATAAAAAAAATAACTATTGTCTTTCCCCCTATGCCTTACAGCCTATTCAGTTCTCTTTAAGCTTACATTTACTGGAAAGTTGTGTGCGTGGTATTTGTGTGCATTATTTCTTCTCATAGCTAACTAATCTCTGATTCTAGGATGGTAGTTTAATAACATTTTCGTCAGTCCTCTATTGACAATACTGGCCTGTGACAAATACAAAGCTATCATTCAAAGCCATAGCATACCCTCTTGACATAGGGAACACTGCCAGCTACAGCTCAGGCAAGCCCAAACCTGTTCTATTAATGGATGACATTTTTAACAATAGAGCTGTCGGACCCCACTGCAATAATGGCGGGAATTAGTGCACACGACAGGTGATTATGTTCTGGAAATGTTCCAGCACCAGCTGTGTTGCTTCATATTATTTGTAACCTCTGTAATTGCAGCTTTTCAAAAACATTTTTATTTGAAATTGGGGAAAACCAGTGCAATTGGGACAAAAACAACCACTACAATTTGTTAGGAAAAAACTGTGTCAAAGCCTGAACAGTACTGCCCTGTTTTCTGAATTCCTGGCTTAGAATCTCTTGTTCTATTTAAAAAACTCCTAATGTAGTCATTGTTACATCTTTTCTTCCTTTCTCATAGACCAATTACTGTGCCTGCTAACCAATGAATGGACTAGCAAGCATCTGCCTAATGCTTGTGAAGGGAATTCCTTCTAATATCTCAAAACTGCCTGTTCATTCGCTTTACCCAAATGTTAGATAGCGTTCTGCTTGTTTTAGGGTTAAAAAACCATAGGTGATGGAGAAAGAACTTTTCTTATGTGGCTTATAAATTGTCTTCATATATGTTTTAAAACTCTAATGCACACCTGTAAATATCATCAGATTATGCATACAAAGTGCCTGATTAACTGCATGATTTACTATAATCCTTGTCCCTGCTATTGCTCTGTTAGATTTGTTACTTTTCTCACATCTGGCTAAAATTAGACAGAAAACTCTTTGAGACAGGAGCTGTGCCTTTTTGTTCTACAAAGAACAGAGAGCAGTTTCGGTTGTTGGATAAATAATTCTTTCTAACTGCTCATCTTACTTGCCTTGGCATTTTTGAAAGAGTGGTTTTGGCCCTTCCTTGAATTCTCTTCCTTAAATCATATTTGAATGTGAATCTAGAGAGCTAATGGGAATGGGTTATGGTGCCCCTGAAGCACTTGAAAATTGGACTGTCAATTAGAAAAGTGATGGATTACTAGAGAGTACTGCAAGTAGTCAGATTTCTAGTGGACTAGATAATCTAGACCTGAATTGGCTTTTGTCCCATGCAATATATTTGAAGGAAGTATTTTTTTGTCCGCCGTCTGTGATTTCTGAAACCATTAGAGAAAAAATAAAAAGAAGTCACATGAGAAAGGAAGGAAGTTCTGAAAGCTTTCCTAAGGTTCTAGTTGCTAGGGTAACCATTTTACTTGGTAATCAATATGTTCAGCATGTCTCTATTGCTTTGTGCCGACTCCTACAGAAAACATGTAGGGTGGCTTTGGGGAAAACACTGAAAATGAAGAAGACTGCAAACTTTGAAAGGATTGTTTCAAACAGGAAAAAAAAATGAATAACTTATTTCCCAATACTTAAAGGCATTATAAGATTTTTCAGTAAAATTGGGGGTAGTTTTCTACAATACAATTGCAAGCTTTGATTGAGTCTATGGGATTCTCTGAGTTTTAGTACGATGCTGTCCAGGCAGAACAAAACCTAGAATTTGGCTATTTTTAATGCTAAATGTGCCACTTTGTCATTCACTCTCTGGCCATTAATCAGCACCACCTTTAGGTGAACGTGAGTGAGAAAAAAGGAAATTAAAGTTTCTTTAGCAGAATCTGAGTAATGCAGCATTTTGATTTTTACATCAGCAAAGGTGCAATAAATTGTGCATAGAAAAGTCCTGAAAAATTAAAAAAACCTCAAAACCTACATCATGATAATGCTAGGGATTTCTATCCAAGGATCTCAAATATAGGTAAGCACTGTTAGCCTTGTTTTAAAGATAAAGAAGCTGAGAGGGGGGGAAAACGATTTGCCCAAAGTTATCCAGCAAATTAATAACAAGAAGTTGGGCCCAGTCCCAAGCTGTTGTTATTACTATGTTGCCCTTCTGTTCTTTAAAACCATCATTGTTCATGGGATTTTTCCAGACAAGAAAAAGAAATTATCTCTTTTTTGAGGAATGTACAGTCTTAGGTCTCAACGCACCTTTGTTCCCTCATTCTCAGGTATTATCAACTGCAACCATAATGAAAGGGGTCCAGTAAGTAGGGGCTGGTAGAGCGAGAAACTAGAAAACCCAGTGTTTTAAGAGGAATACTGTAGTTGTCTATAACACATTTGCTATATTTCAGAAGCTCTTAATACCCTGATATTCAATACAGCACTGTACCTGTAAGACATCAAAACATTAGAAGAAAGATTTATTTGGTTCAGCCTGTTATTGCTATAGACTTTTCCAAAGAGAGAATCTTGAAATATTTTACAATGAGAGATAATACAATTAAAAGGTGCTTTACAGAAATTAGCATAGAGATGGCAAGATTGTAAGAGAAAAGGCAAAAGTCTGAGTAAAAGCAAAAGCTTTCATTCTCAGAACTAATCGGAAGATAAGCCTTTTATGTCTCTCTCTCTCTCAGTAGCTACAGTGCAAGTGGATAAGGGGAGAATGCTAGATAGAGAGCAGATTAATAAATAGACTGTTATTTTTATCTAGCTATATTTATCCAGTTCATTAGGCATTTTCCTGCTTGTTTTTGGATGACTTCTTATGGATTTGTAGTGTCTAGAGACCCACTGTGTGAAATATTCTACCTAAGAGAGATTTATACTGTATTGATCTAAATGACCCCTCCAGGAAAAATCATCAAAGACATTTATAGTGAATTCTGTGCTTCTTAAATTTGGAGGGATGTAGACTGTGAAAACCAAAGTCTTTTATCAAGGAATATGTATGGCATAGCCAGTGAGCTGTTGACAGGGCTGGCTTCCTCACAATCTTCTGCCACTTTACTTTGATTAGGCTTGGAAAGCACTGCAAAATAATGGAATGTTTGTTTCATTGTTAAATTAATTTGTAATAACCCCTTTTGTGCTTTCCATCATTGTGTGATTAAGCTTAGTATTATGGTGGCAGTATCTGCAGACCCAAGTTAAGGACCCTATCACGTTAAACAAAAATTTTTGGAAGCACTGTAAAACTTTTTATTTGGGCATGCATTCACCAAACAAAACCAGGATGAGTTGTTGTTTGGGGGGAGATGGGGTGGTCTCTGTTCTAGTTTGTTTTTAAGTCCTTTCTGCCATTCCTGTTTTTAAGTTATTCTGTTTTCTTACTGTAAGTCACCCCAAGCCTTTGTTGGGAGGGGCAGCTTATAAATTGAATATATAAATAAATAAATGTTATATATATAAAAATGGGATTCACTGACTTAAGTGGAACTACGTCAGTTTATAATAGCTGGGACTCTAGGCATGGGATTGTACCAGCAAGAACCTTTGAAGAAAAGTTTTAAGTTCCTACTAGAAACTCAGCTGTAAATGTTATTTCCACCTAGTCAAGAAACAGAAATAATTGCCCTAGTGTGGTTGCAGCAGCATGGTGCTTGGCACAAAACTACCTGTGAAGCAGAGGAAATGTTCTGGTGGCTTGCTGGCACTGAGCTCAGTACTGCTACAGCTACACTGCAAGCAGTACTCAAGGTAGCTAGCTTATCCTTTAAATGTGATCATTAGGTCACAAATCTTCCAAGGCTTCATTTCAGCCAAGCAGCTAGGTGAAAA